GAGCAAAAACAAATCATGTAGGAGGCAGGGTGGATTGGGAGGATTTTGGTGAGTTTGGAGATCAGAGAAAGGGTTCCATATGTGACAGAGGATAGATTCACCCGAAGCCATGCACCAGGGACAGAAGGAGCCGAGCAAGAGAATGAGCAAGACTTAACAAGCAAAGGTAAGAGAGAGTGAAAATGGGAAACCGGATGACAAGTTGGTCTGCAACTTGAGAAAGATAGAGCCTGGGCTTGCTTTTCTAGTTTTGTGATCAGACAGGGTTTGGATTGGTTTGTTGATTTTCTCTTGAAAATAAAACTACATTGCACTGCGTTTAATTATGTCAGCTTATGTAATAATCAGATGAATAAACAGATCAGATGAATGAAAGATTTGTAGGAAATTTGGAGAATTGTGTTTTACAGGAGGACTAATGTTAGGAGTTCCACAGCACCCAATTGTTAGAGAATAACACAATGTGTTGGATATAAAACCAATTACTTCGATTATTGTTTAGAAATGTATTTACGGTAGACAATTTAGATAGTTTAGTTTATTTCACAAGACAATATCTAGTACTGAGACACCACACAATAACAACTGAACTTTCTTTAAATGAATCAATGTTAATTCCTTTCATATTGATTAAAATTGCCGAATACTGAAACAGCACTAGATCATTTTCAATAACTGCTATTGTGGGAAATTCATCAGAGGAGCAGAACAAAGTCTCGTGCAGTTTTAATGAGCTCAATAAGGACAGCAAAGCGCGCTGTGTCTGCCCCACAGAACAGACACACTGCAAGGGGCACCCAATGCTTATATATCATACCTTTTGTTGGAAGCTAAATTAACAGACCCCAGCAACACCTTCAACAATGTGGTTAAGTGGTAATATTGCAATGCTGGATATGTCCCACTGAAAACTGCTTATCCAATTCAGGGTCAAGATGGCCCGGAGCCTATCTGAGGAAGCACTGGGCACAAGGTGGGATACTCTCTGGATGGGACGGCAGCCCATCACAAACATATGTAGACAGACGCACTCACACCAGGGCCAATCTACATACCAGCATACAGTACATATTACATACCAGTCTTTGGACTGTTGGAGAGAACTAGCACCCAGAGGAAGCCAACATAAATATGGGGAAAACATGCAAAATCCACGCAAATAGCACTCCAGGAACTGAGCCCAGGGCCCCAGCACTGTGAGGCAGCAACCCTTACCACCCTGCCACCGTGCCACTCTTGAATATTGAAATGTTCAACCTTTTAGAATTGTGCCATAAGCAACATGTAATGCACTTAAAAGTTTATTTAGCATAGCACACTGAGTCCTTTTCAAATCAGTCTTTAAAACTGTACATATTTATTACATGTTTGCACAGACTATAATTTACAGCTCTACAGTGTACAGTTTGTGTTTGGGCAGACTGAGATCTAATTTATATGTCACAGGAATTTTCTTAGTACACAGTTCTGACTCTGACAAATAAGGGAAAGTGTCAGTCTAGCATCAACAAATCCTATTAAACTGTAATTAATGAAGAAAAAATGCTGATGTTCTCATGTCTATGGTAACAGAACACTATCTTCAACATAGAGAAGGAAAGCTTAAATTGTCTTTTGAAATAACATATTTCCCGTGTTTACTGTACTTAATTACAGACAGTTAAATTTTGTTATTCATTTTTTTTCAGCCAGCAGATCTACAATCTGACATGTAACAAGAACACATTTTGACATATTTAAAGATCATATTGATTATTGTGGAAATTTGCTAAATACTGTATTGCTTGTGACTTATTTTTGCCCTGTGTATTGGTTGAAGCCAAAAGCTTTGTTTACTCATAGAATTTGTAGTGTATCACTCGCAGAAATACATCTCCTTCTTTTAACAGAGAAAGGCCTCCTTTCAAGCTTAGGAGACTGTTGAAATTGGCAGTTATACTGTACATTACAGCATTACAGAGATGTATTAAGAATATGCATACTATTATACAATATTTTGATCTGTTCAGACTGTTATGATTTACATTCCATTTCTGTTTAGACTGAATTTGCCCTATAAAGCGGTGTGAATTAGGCCAAACAGTTTAAAAGACGAAATTCACAAAAAACATTAGCTAATAGTGAAAAAGTGGTGGGTAGTTACCAGTCTTCATGCACTGTTTGGTGATGATCAATATCACTTAAGATGCTCAAGAAAAGTTAGTGTAAATTGTGGCATTTTTTAATCAAGAAGCTTAGCAAATTTGAAACAACAAGAAAATAATTTTAATGCCTTTTTTGGATATCATACAAATACTTGTTTCCAACTGTTTAGAAAACATAACTTTGCTCTTGTGTTTTATTGATAAATTTAAAGGCACCTCATAGCATCCTAGAACTACAAGGCCAGATGGGATCTCTAGGTTGGCCTGCTGCTGGCTTCTGCGTGTTGTGTGTTTTCAGAGAGAAAACAACAGCTGCTGAAGGCTGTACAGGACCAACTCAGCTCTCTCTTATCAACCTCAGCAGCTGGGCTTTAAGGTGGGAGCATCCAAGTGTCGCATTCTACAGTACTGGACAGTACAGTAATAGTATCAGAGGAGCTAAGATGAGCTGAGAGGAGAGGTCTCCTGCTGTATAATTTTTTACCTTATAACATAATCTTAAATAAATCATTAAACACAGCTAGCTACCACAGCATATATAGTATCATATAGCGATATTTTAATCTAAATGCTTTAATAAAGAAATCCATGGAAATACAGTATATTTGTCAAGAAACATGGGTGTGAAAGAAGCCTTTCTGTAAAATGATTCATGCCCTTGATTCAAAACAAATCCTTCTTGTTTCAAGATCAGAACAATAACTGTGTACATGCCTCATAAGATGACACTTTAGTAGGTATATCCATCCAGAGCAGGATAAAACCAAGCTGAAGGTCAAGTGCAACTTGCTGTATGCTGTCTGTATTGAAGGTAATAAATGTACACTCACATCTCAGATTGTTGACCTAATTTCCTTAATAAAAACCTTCAACATCTCTAGTTAGCCATTTGAATTGACTTATGCTGGTGGACAGCAAAGTTGTTTTAAGGGAAAAAAAGGGATACACCTTTTAAAAAATACTGTTTTACTATATACAGTATAGCAATCTTTATGTGGGTTCTAAATACAAAATGAAAGGGTCTCTCTCTCTCTTAAACATGACATGTAAGACAAGAGACTGACTGAGGCTGTACTCAGATTCTAAAAATCCTTTGAGAATGATTGAATGCACAGCAAAACAGGAAAATACACTTTTATACACTTTTTCTTTTTGTGAGAATGTGAGAATCCTGTAGTATTCCATTCCTTATAACTAACCTGATGAAAAATGAAAAGCGGAACAAATAGCTCTTTTTACAATCTATGGAAAATGATTCCTTCAATATTTGAATTTTGTGGTTTGATTTTTGTCTGAGTGGTTTCTACAGTGTACTTGCAGCGAACACAAAATGTCTGTCTACAAAATGCCTAAGAACAACAAAGGCTTACTCCAAGGCCAATGTTAATATGATTAACAAGATACAACAATTACTTCATGAAGAGATGCTACGTAAAACAATTCATCTCTATAAAAAGAAGACAGAGTATTAAAAGACCCTAAAAAGTCTGACGAGTCCATGATGAGTTACTACATTTAGTTTTTTAGTTTTTCACCTAAACCACCGTTTTCAGTATCAAATAAACAGTACACCAATGGTGGCTATTCTAATAATGAGCTGGAAGTCACCAGGAGTAGAATAAAATCTTGAAATGCCTAAATTTACTACAGCAATTACTTAGATGCCATGAGATGTAAGAATACCATTAAACACAAATGTTTTACAATGAAGTTCATGTGTATGTATCCATTTCAAGCTGGCTGGTCACATTAGCAGTAATTTTGAGCACACACCAGAGGCAGCCAAGCAGAGCCCATTGTGAGTGCTGCAGGCTGAAAGTAGACTTGATACACTGTTAATAAAATAGTAGCCCAACAGTTAAGCTCAACATGGCCTTTTCACACTTCTGAGTTTGCATGTTTTCCCTTGCAAAATTTATCTGGATTTTATCTGGATTTGTTGCAGAGCAAACGTATTTTGAGAAAATGTTTTCGATAAATCTAGTTCTACACCACAACCTTTTGGAATTTTCCTTTGCTTTTCAAATGCTACAAACTAAAAAAAAAACAAGAATTCTACACAAAAGTTGTACAAGCCCCAGTTACAAAAAAATGAGTTTTACTAAGTCTTTAATCCATTAGTTGACCTAGTCATGACAATGCAAACATTGAACTGCCCAAGTAAATTGGTTCCTGGTCGGCTGAAGTAAACCTCAGTTCAACTCGATCTATTAAGAGAAAATTCTACAATGTGGGAATATTCCTTAGTGGGAAATTTATTTCCTTGGAAACATATCAGCATGGACGCATAGTTCAAGACCTCATCTGTGCTAAAAGAGAACAAGGCATGCTGCTATATATTCTAAGTGTCCTTGTTTAACCTTGAACATCCCACACAGCATACTAGTTCATGAGTTATGTTATTACTCATGTTAGAAACCCTGCTGATATTTCCACCTGTGAAAACAAATGCAACAACACTAAGACCTAAAGCTTTAATTAGAGAGAAAAGTGATGTTTTCTCTTCTTTATTCACAGTTTCAGGAAATTTCTGTAAAGAATGAAAACAGAAGATTAACTATATGATAAAATATAATTTAAAGAAATAAGACAAATGAGTTACTAAAAAGTAGCTTCATGATTTTTATAGATTTAAAGTTAAGCACTAAATCGGTTTACTCAGACAAAGGCGTTTTAACTCACATTGGAGAGAGCATGCTAGGAGAACCCCCTGTCATAGTGCTTTTATTTCTTTGCGAATTAAACTTCAGTCTCACTCACCTCCTTTGCTTCTCAGTGTCAATGAAGCCCTAATGCATCAACATAAATAGGCCACTTCTCTCTTGCTATTATCCCCCAAAAGAGCAAGGTGCCTACCAGGTTGTAGATGCCGAGCAGCAGGGCCTCAATGCAGCCGTTGCTCTGTCTGTCTCGGCTGGCAGTGACTCGGAGATAAACCCACACCAACTCAGGCAGGAACTGTAGCGTGAACCTCTTTAGCTTGTCCTCAGAACTGCGGTAGAGCTCAAACAGTTGGTGACACACAGGCTCCAAAAGCTAGAGAAGAAAATGCACACAATTTCAAAAAGCATAAAAATGGCAGAAACCAATTTGCTTACTTAGACTTAACAATAATTAGCTATAACAGCATTTTATTTAGCAGTATTTAACTGAAAACTTCAGTTTCAACTACTAAAACCTTAATACTGTGGTTGGGAAACCCAAAACTAATGGTTCAAGTCAGATTCATAGCCTGCTTTCTAACTTTATGGTTACATACCAGTATTATCTTGGCAAAATAAGATGTTCATCATATTAACCACTGAAGTCAATCTGTCATATGGATTTGATTTAAAAAACTACAGAAACCTGGACGTTAATGCAGAATAAGGGGTAAATTTTCAAAATAGTTATGTTTCTGTGGAAGGAAATCCATTTATTGAATTAAACAGTCAAACAGAGCATCTTCAGGAACCTTCACATCAACACAGTAAGTAGGAGTTAAGTACGACTTGGGAGCTAGATTCCAGACCAAGGAAGAGACATACTGCATGTATAAGCCCTTGAAAGACACAAATCAAAGCAAGTAAGCCTTTTCATGCTTAAAATGCAAAGTTTGTACTGGGAACTGTAAAATATTTTTTACAAGATTTGAGCACTATAGATGTACGGCACTAAGACTGATTAAGATTCAACAAATAAGAATGTGATTTCAGAAACACAAGTATACAGCATTGTTAATGGAAATATGATACATTTTGGCTTTCTGTCAAATTCAGAGCTAGAAATGCCCAATTAAAACAAAGGAATTAGTAAAGAAATACAATATTAAAAAATGTTCACGGTCATAAAAGCTGTACACTGTTGGGTGCTGCAAACCTATAACAATAAGAAAATTATCCAATCATCAAATTCCTCTCATCTCAAAAGGCTTTCTGCAAAGCATTGTCCAGTTTCAAACTACTTCCCAAAACGTTACGTATGTTAAGAGTTTTCAGGTGCTCTACTACAATGAATTCATTTAATAAAAATGATGTACAGAGAAAGACTACCCTTTTCATTTTGAATTTGAATTTTTTCCCCTTTTATTCAAATGTTAATGTGTAGTTGCCAACTATTCTTCACTTGAATTATGCTGCAGGTGCAAAGACAGCATACAGTTGGATTAGTTAATAATAATGAATCCAGGTGGTGCACTGAAATCAATCAGCTAAGCACTCTGAGTGAAGTGAGACAAGGTTTGTAGAAACCAATTTTGCTGTTGTTCAACTGATGTCATTAATATACTAAAATATTTAAAGGTCAGTAAAAATGGTAGGAATAAAAAAGGAGGCTGACAGATATAACTGATCATAGAAACCAACTTAAATTTTCTTATTGTAGAGAAAAGGCCTCAAATCAGTTTTTGCATGCGTAAAAACTTTGGTTCCTCTGGAGTTAACGGGCAGCAACTTTGTCACAAAAACTGTTTGTGGTTTTCTTTAAAAAAAAAGTGAGCCCTAAAACATACAGATTGATCCAATAAAATATGCATACAGTTCTTGGAGATGGTCAGGAAATACAAAACACATATCTCTGGAAAAAAAAAATATATATAAAAGTGAGACCCAACTCAGAAAATGTGATACTAGTAAAGAAATGCTGGTAGGCAGATTTAAGTGTGACAGAAAAAGCACCAGAGGCAACAGTTATGTCTTGGAAGTAGTCAGTGGAGTAAGATAGAAGATGGACAAGAATAACATCTGCACCTTGTCAGATTTGCTACCTGAGGGAGACGGCAACAGAAGTAAACATCAAAGAATCGAGAAGTAGGAAGGGAAATGGCTGTAAAGTTAGAGAAATCATTATTGGGGTTAGCTGCAACAGAAAGCCTATGAAGATGGTCTTGGAAAATTGTTGTGTCGAGGACATTGGATCAGAGTATTGTGAAACAACAAAAGGCTGGGGTGAGAATGACCAAAAGACACAAAACCAAAGACACTAAAAGTGATGGTTTCAGGCTAAATAGGACAGTGTGGACAGAGGTAGAAGAAAGAATGGAAATTTATTTAAGCCACATAGAGGAAGGAAGCTAACCTGGGGCCTAAGACTTAGAGGATTAAAAATTTGAAAAAGTCCAAACAGGGCAAAAATGAGAAGAAAATACAGGGGCTAGTTTTAAGAAGAAGAAGAAGAAGAAAACAAATGGAAAAGGTAACAAAGGTAGATGTGTGAGACACAAGGAAAGACTAAGCAGGTGGAAGCAATGGCAGCTCGGAGGTCTTTGCACCTGACCGGACTGTAGCATCTCAAGTAACATCATGAGAAGGCATGGAGGTTTGTTGGAAGACTGGGACTTGATTCTTGGAAAAATATAAAGAAAACCGTTCTTTTCTTGAAGTATTTCTTTAAAATGCAATTCCACATTTGTGAAAAATTTGTTGAAGTTTTGTTACAGTCCAATTGGTGATGGCAGGAGAGCTTTCGGAATGGAGAGGAGACAATTTGCAGATTTTACTGTGAGATTGTGTTTGTCCAGAGCAGCTGGGATCTATAGGAGAATTAGCTGGAGATAGTCAACAGGATTGATGTTTTGCAAATAATGGTTTGACAACTCCACATATCGATCTACAGTGAGACATGGAAGCTTGATACAAAGAACCAGGTACTAAAACATTAGGGGTTTAGAATTGACAGACTTAGAGGGAATAGCAGCAGATGGAAAACAAACAAATATAAGCTCAGTGTGAGGACCCAGGGATTCCTGGCCAAGACCAAAAAGAACTTCATCAGAGTTTCAGATTTGAAAATCAATTGCAGGTGAAACAATAGCAGTGGTGAAATAGGTAGGATGCAGATTCAAAGCACAGTCCATGCAAAAGATGTATGTGAGGGAGAGAAGAAATTATGTATAGTACCTATAATATGTAAGTACATGACATCAGGATTGATTACAATTACTGATAGATGAGGCAGATTTAACTTTGTTGTTTTCATCCCTCCTGAACTTTTGTATGAACTCCATTAATTTAACAGTGCAGTATGTTCCTAATAAATCTTAGATATTGTAATGGTATCCAGAACAAAGTTAGTAACACTTCACTGTAATCAATCCATTTCCCAAGTGCTTTAAAATCAAGTGTTGTAATAACTTTGCCACACAGTTCCTAAAAAAACTCAGCTCCTAAGGCAATCCTATGCAAACACCCACCACCAACCCAGAGCCAGATTAAATGCAAGAACAGTTTGTTCATTTGCTTCCCTGCAATTCAACAGAATGTACTCTGCTGTACACTGCCTTACATAATAACAGCATTTTTTTTGTCCCTGAAGATTACAACTCCATGCTTAAGTCTGATATTTATTTTATTTCACTGCTCAGAACGATAAAAATCTTTAGTTTAGAGAACCATATGTTAACTCTAAGTAGAAAAATAGGAAAAAATAGGAAAGACATTGCTTCATGCTGGTCATAGCAAGAGTGCATTCAAATGGTAGATAGTTTTCCTGCTGTTAATTCCCATTACAAAACAATATTTTGTATACCTTCATGGTACCCACCTTGGCTTTTTCATACCAGTATGTCAGTATATACCGTATGCCGTGAATTCGGGGTCGGGCAGGAAAACAAACAAGGCAATGCTCTTGTTTGGCCCGCAGACACCTTTTATTACACCTCAGTCACCCAGTTATGGGCAACAGAGACAAAGTCAAACTCAACGTTGGCACATACACTAGGGAGGTAAACGGGACACATACGCAGATTCAGGGTGATTACACATTAAGGGATAACAGAAAAATACACAGGTAAAAACTAAACAGCTGTTTACACAAATGGGATTGGGATTATTTATATTAGCAGAGTGACCTAGTGGTCCCTCTGCACTCTCACACCCCATCCCATAGCTATAAGGCCCAGCCTGCATTGCTGAGCATGCAGGACCCGGGTACACCTCCTCCTCGTCACCCGACGAGGGCGCTACAACAAGCTTTCTTTCCTTTGTACTGTAGGCAGACAGACTATGGTAATTTTCATTTTTTATTAAATAATTACATTACAACTTCATATGTCAAGGCTCATAATCAGCACAGAAGGTATGCATAAAGTAAATCAATACTAGATATACAGTATTATTAATAGTACTGAGTCACTGTTTTCAATCAAGAACAATATTAAAATTTCCAGTCAAGTTCCCATAACTTCCTTGGTATTTTTAGTATTCAAATTTCTAGTGTTCCCAAGGAAAAATATCAAAAGAACTGGACAGTTATGGACAAAGTCATTAAACGGTATTATCAGTCATCAGCAGAAAAATGAAAATTACACATTGAATGCTGTAAAGTTACACATTTTTCCAGAAAAATGGACTAAGCAATTTTTTTATGCCTCGTCAAGGAAAAATCATTAAGTCTCATTTACAAAAAAACACTGCCGTTTACAATGAATATAATATCGTAAATCACAGATACAAATATAATCAATACAGGGAAGCTCTTTCAAGATCATGTTTGAAAATTAGTCTGAAGTTTACAGCATATATGAAAAAGAAGACAGGAAGAAAATACACAGGCTGTGAAGGCAAACTGTCGTGTTACTCAGTTTGTGGGGACTGACTGCAAGGTATTTTCTGATGCTGAATTCATAACTGAGTGAATGTGATGATGAAAGGCATGGGTCTTGAAAAACTTTAATCTGCAAACCTGTCTTGAGGGATAATCACTTGGAAAACTTTTGTAGAATTTTTAATTTTAAAATTAAAGCTGTGTGAAAAAACTGCTACTTTTGAGATTGTAACGAACAGTTCTTTCCGGACCCTATGCGAACGACACAATCCGACGAAGTGGGGAAACATTAGGGAAACGTCATGCAGGAATACGGGGCTGAAGACAGGGGGGCGTGTCCAAGGTGCGCTGGTGCACGGGGGAGGCGTGGCCGAGGCGAACAATCCAAAAGAGTAGTCCTTAGAGAATATCCAAGGTCCCGGACTCGCACGATACGGAAATCAGATACAGAGCCCGGAAGAGCATCAGCGCCTGGCTTTTAAGGTGGGCTGGGAATGGGAAACAGGTGCACAGAATAAAGTCTTGAGTGAAGGGGCTGGAACACCCTTAAGGAGGGGGGGACTATAATCGTGACAGAGATTTGAATTGGGTGGATTGTATTGGAACAGCTTTGGATGAAAGCAACAATTTAAGAAGAAACTTGATTGTTGTTAGGGGGGCAGACAATGAGTTAAGAGCTGGCAGTGCTTTACACACATCACAAGAGGTGTACAGGTAAAGACCATTAATGGCTTGTCTTGGAATTATTTTTCTGCAGTTGTGTAAACAAGAACATCTAAATGGTAAGGCTTTGCATTGCTTTTGTTGCTTAAACGCACTTATGATCCCATCAGTCAAATGAGATATATAACCACAATCTTGTGGTTTTGATATGTATGAGGGTACAACCAAATCAATAATATATCATCTTTGCAGTCTGAATCTTGCCTCATGTGAATTTCAAAACTGAGTCCTTGACAGATCATCTCTGAGGTCAAAATACTGGCACTAATCAGTGTCTATGAACTTGATATATACTAGAATACAGAGCTTACTTTTCTAAACAGGCTCCCTTTTTGTGATTTAGTCTAACACATTGTGATGCCCTATTTATTTCCTTCATTGGCTGAAATGCCAATTAGTCTCTCCAAATAACCGAATAAAAGTATCTGTTAAATGATTATTGACTGTGAATGTTAATATTTTTACCCAAAAGGAATATGATGACTCTAGAGGAAAAGTGTTTGTACACTGTTCACCCATTAGCCTCTGTTAAACCTTTAAAAAAAAGTATCTGCCAGATTATGATTATTAACTTGAGATTCATTTTTAAACTTCAGTACAACTGGAGCTAATTAAGAAGCTAAATGAAATCATATCAATTATATAAATTTAAGCCCAACAAAACAATGCTAGTTCCCTCTCACAATTTAAATATAATATAATAATATAAAACTGTCTTGATGTTTAAATGATGATAAGAAAAGGTCTTAATTGCTTTTTATTTTAAACTAAACATTACAACTAAAATATGAAATGAGCAGCACCAGTGAAAACATCCATTTTCTAACTGCTGTATCCTTTGCAATTATTAATATTTATTAATAATAACCTGATTCTATTATTGTTTTTATATTATTATTACTACTATTATTATTACCCTTATTATATTAAATAATATGATGTCTTATTGAATACATGAACTAATTAAATAATAATTTTTACAATTCTTAGATATTTTAACATTTCCTTACAATCTGCATTCAATATTTATTTGAATCCGCACAACCAGTTAAAATACTCAGCAGTTTTCAACCCTGCAGCCAGTTGGTTCAGGTCTGGACTCTCAATAGACAACTGTGAGTACAGTAGCATTGCAGAGGTACACAGCTGGCCAAGTAATTTCTGCCTAATCATTAGAATTGCTGCCCTGTCAAAAGACCAGAAATCCCTGGGATTTACCAGGTGCCCAAGTACTCACTCAGTAAGAAATGTGCTGGTTCTCCAAATGGCAGTAACTAGTGTAAGGCACATCAATTGGAAAAGGCTGATTCAGAGTACAGCTTTTGCTCAGTGCTACTGAATAAATCATTGGTAGAGGCCACAATAATAACCATTATATATTTCAAAAGAGTATAAGCGATCACAATTTACATGATAAATTCAGCATCACCCAATGTATGTATGGTTGGCTCACAGGGAACCCTATAGGTACCCCTGTACCTAAAGAGGGTGAATGCAGGAGTTCAAAGATGCTTCTCCAACCTTCTCACCCATCAAGTTATTCATCTTGAGATGTAAGGAGATCTGCTGAAATGTACTGAAGGATTTAATGCAGACTTGTGGAGAGGCAAATAGTTCAGCTAATTGCAGGTGATCAGAAAAACGTTGGATTAGTTTTTTGCAGGAAGGTGTGAGAATCCTAGCTATTTCATCCCAACATTTTGGTTCCAGCAATTAAGAAGTCCTCGTCCAAGTTAGTGATGTAACCCAAGGTCAACTTTGCAACTTGTGAACCATATAGCCAAGAAACCAGAACCTCTAATTTTGTTTGAAAATCTGCATTAATAAAATTAATCCTAAATCATCTAGCCTAGAGATTCCCATCTCAGTAGATGCATCTTCCTATATTGTTGTTGAGAGAAAAGCTGGTGCCCTATTTAGACACCTCACATCACAAATCATAAGCTTTTTTTAAGTGTTATCTGTACTTTTGTAATCATGTAACCCACAATTTAAACTTCAAATGGCAAGTTTAAGCATATGGGTATGATACCATTTTGAAAACTGCAAACAATATGCTTACAGCATTATAAAGGTTCTGTGGAATTCTCCTGTAATCTACATTATTTTTATTAAATCAGTTCAAGTACTCCCCACTTACCTCATTATGGGAATCCTGGATAACTCTATAGAGAGCAGGGACTAGCGTTTTCTTTCGATGAAGTGTTGCTGCATAACTAGGTATCTGGTTTTCAGGTAAAGCCTATAACACAATAGGAGAAAAACAGATTGGTACTGCATACCAAATTGTCTCAAGATAACATGCAACTTTTATATGAGTAATTGATATGAATATATGATATTGTATTGTATGTATTGTGTTGTATGTATTGTATTATGTTGTGCTGTGTTAACTGTGTTGAGCTGCTGTTGCACAGCAATTCCCTCACTAGATCGATAAAATGTCTATCTATATTCATATCAATCACTCATATCTTATATTAATATAAATTATTCATATGATACTCATATGAATATTAATTACTTTTTCCTTTGCAGCCATCACATGCTGACACAGCTCCCCATTCCAACCTAAACCGCATTTTAATACTTTTATTTTTAGTGATGAATGAAAGAACTTGACTTATGAGTAAGAAGTATGAATTAATTAAGAATGGATACTACCGCATCAGCTATCTTTATGGTTATAAATCATTGCTATTTAACATATGGTCATGAAAAATGACTTACCTTGAATTCTGAAAGCCATTCCTCTACCACACCTCTTTCAGACCCAAGCATCTTGCCACAGAACCCACTATCCTGTGTTGAGTGGGATGGGCAGAGACGATGACAAGAGGCGTTATACTTCAGCTGTTGGAGCTGTTACTGTTCTGAACTCGCTGAAGACGACTTTCTAACATGATGTGGCTAACTGTCAGGAACCAGGAAGGATGGTCACGATTTATACCAAATGGGAAACCTGCAAGAAAGGAAACTCATTCAACCCCCTAGAAAAAAGCATGAAGCAACTTACATACAAAGGCCACTACAGTGGTAGGTTTCGCAGCAGTAAGGGAATGTGAACACACCCTTTCCATGTCTACTTGCAAGACTGCAAATTGAATCTGTAAATACGTAAAACATCTTTAAAAAGAAAGTGGTACACATTCATGCAATATCATACTAAGTCACTTTGGAAATACTTTAATAATCAAATTCTGTTTCCTTTATTTTGCTCGGAAATGCTGTTAAGTAACAAGGCACGAGAACAAGTGCCTTGTTTTTTTCTGCTAAATTAACAAAAGACTCCCTCACAGTCATAATACTTCTTGGAAATATTCTAAGGAACTTTAACTTTTGCAGGTAGACTCTCCATTCTAATCCCACTGCAGAATCCTGGCACAACTAGCTCGGTAAAGAGCATTTTAATTAGCTTCCAAAAAAGTAACTTAAGAATGCAAGGAAAGGGGGCTCATGGATTAAAGAAAAAAGAGGCATTAAATTCTTAAGAGGGGAAAAGGCAAAAGACCGTGTTGTCACAGCTTCCACAAAATTGCAAGCTACTTTGTTCCAGAGAAGAAATTCTGCAAATAAATGCAGTCTAAGTGTATCTTAATCTCTGGCAAAACCTTGGATGACAATTTGTTTTGTTTGACAAGAACTACAGCCAACCACAAATGCAAGATGAAAATGTTCTGTAAAATCAGAATAATTTTCTTCATTTCAAGCATTCTTTATAATTCAGCTTCAAATGATTTAACAACACAAAAAGCAATGCACAAGAATGACTACTTGGTGACTCATATCTACTGAAATGTCCTTGAAAGACAATGGCAATATAAATGATCTTTATTTCTGGCAAAGAATATTTTACACCAACCTCATTCAAGAGTTGGTGTGAAGTATCATGTTCTTGAGGCTTCCATTTCTAGGTAGCTGTTTATACCACAACTCAATTTATGTTCCCTCTTAGGTACAAGCAACCTGATGCACTGACTACAGTTTAATTTTCAACTTGAAAACATGATAAAAATAATGGGTATGATTTGACAACAAACAGCCATCCTCATTCATTTTGTTCCTTTACTGAAGTCTTGTGGTTTTGATTTTGAAAACAGATTTTTACCTCGTTTTAAACTAACGACAAATATCTTTTGTGGTGACACCAAAAGTTCACATGATTATATGAACACTTGCTATTGAAAATTACAAATGACAAACTTTTCTGTAATTCCTAAACCTGTTTTTCTCATCTTCAGTCTTTTGCAGTGTTTTCAGATTCAGACCCAATGATAAATGGATTAAGTAAAATGTCATGTACCTAACAGAGGGCTTGAATATAAAAGTTCTATACATCAATTTCCCTATGGGATTAATAAAGTATTATCTATCTATAATCCATTAAGTGTTGGCATTGAAGTATGCTGTAGTACAAGGAGACAGGACAACATTCTCTTAAAACTGTTTGAATAACATCCCCTTTTCTTTGTGAAATGTTGCTTGCATCATCATACTGTAGTTACACAAACATGTCTCTTCCAAGGGTTTTTACACACATCACATAACTGACCTTATTTTTGTCTTTGCTTTCATTTGATTAAAAGTTGCAATACAACATGGTTTTGACAAAGCTGCTATTGGCAATGATTTACAGTTCATGGCAAATTGCTTTACTGAATCCCACATATCTTTCAGGATTTTTTAAATTTTACTTTAGAAAACAGCTAAATACACTCTGTCCTTACGAATGCTATTGTGGAACACGCCCATGCTAAAAAGAAGAAAAGAAATAACATTTATGGCTGTGGAGCCTTCTTCGAGTGTTATAAATGTTATGTTCTACTTCTCAACTCAACACCATTTCACTGAAAGCGATATACACTTTCATTTCAAAGTTTACGGGCCTCTTTTTAAAGAATTTATAAGTCTTTGTCACTATTCCTTTCTCAACCATTTAAAGGTTGATTATGTTACGTCCCAGTGTGTGTTCTGTGTGTTTTTTCTGTTATGTCCACACTGCTGACCCTTGATTGTTCTCCCTTCCCCATTGGCCAACCATCACGCCACTGTTTCAATATGATGTCATCATCAATCAGCCTTCAGCCAATCAGAACACATCTTATTCAGCATATAACATGGTTATTCAGCAAGGAGAGGCCTTTTGTTTGACTTCGGCCCCGTTTGG